GTCATATTCACACAGATTAACGTTACAAATTATCAGAATCCAGTCATCTATGTATGAGTGCATATGCCAGGCCTGATTTTAAATCCTTTGTCTCTTTCTCCTTTTGTAATATTTTTACTGCTTTTTCTAGAATGGAATGTGGAAGGAACCTGCCCCACATTGACATAGGGTTTGTCTGAATTGGGGTTTTTTGTTTCCCTCCTTGCTAGCTTCAGCATTGATTCATTCCAAGAATACTATATTAAAAATTAAAACTCTGAAGTTAAATATTTCATCATCACCACCCTATCTCACTGCTAGCCTTCGCTTTCTATAATGGAATATCCACATATGTATACACTGTGTGTCTGCCCAACTAGCAATTTATATTTTAAATTTTTAAAGTGTACCACCAAAAACAACCCTCTTATTTTTTTCAACAGGGCACATGCGGTTTAATTTCACCACTTGCTGTCTTATTTAAATTAACACTTTCTATGTATGAATGGACCATAGCTCTTTCATACTAACTCACATCAATAGGAATACTGTTTCCAATGAGCACAAGTGACATATATTCATGTGGAAAGATAGAGGAAATTAATAGTAATGGATTTAGTTATTAGACTTGTAGTACACATAATAGAAATATTTTTTTTCAAGTGACAGAACTATAGTGATGTGATGTAATGGTGACCAATTTAGATGGTTTTAAAAGGAAGATGGACAACGTTATGGAAGATCTGATTCTGATTCTGGAGACGACCTTTGGTGATTACTGGACTTCTTCACCATTTGCCATATCCAGAATCAACAGCATACCTGATAGGAACCAACATTGGAGGAGGCCAATCTCTTTCTTGCCTGCACTGATGAAATGCGAGTAGTTACAATATGATATAGATGCTAGACTAATAGCGTTATTCTTATATAGCATCATATTAATAACCACAAAAGGTACTAAAATATTTAGAGGACTGGTGGTGCATCTGAATGATGGAGATAAAATGTTTTTTTAAAAAACTTGTGCTGGTATTTTTGAGTTGATATTGTTCAGCTTACTGCTGTGGAAAACAATCATTCTGTGTTAGGAGGGACATGTCCTGCATTTATTTATTTATTAAATACAAAAGAAGTTTTAAAAATAGAGTTCAAATTTACAAACCTCAGCTAAAATACTAAACCCAGATCTGATCACACCTCGGATAAGGTATTGTGAACCTGGGAAAAATGCAGAAAGGGATGCCAAAATTATCAAAGGATTACAGTTGTTCCCTTCTAAATTCACAGCAGCTGGGACTTCTACATATACAAAAAAGGTGAATTGGAGGTAAGTTGACAGAAGTTCATAATAACATTTTAGATGATAGATAGGTAGGTAGGTAGGTAGGTGTGTGTGTGTGTGTGTGTGTAGACTTTCATATATTCTCAAACCACTAGAAGTCAGAATTGACACTTGAGTTTCAAGGACAAACAAAAAGATTAAGCTGTCTAGTGAGATTGATACTTTACCGTTTGACGTCATTAGCTATTGAAGATTTCACACAAGACTGCATCTACAATGTAGGACAGCCTGGACTTCCTTGTACGTACATCTCATTACCACCCTATTGACAGTAGTTACGGAAATTGAGTTATGGAAAGCAGACCAGGAAATATCAGGTGAAGCAACTGATACAAAACACTTCCCTTTCAAGGAGGAATAACAGATGGCCCATTAAACGTACAACCAGCCCCATGCACGTGTTGTATGGCAGGGGTCTTCAAACTTGGCAAGTTTAAGACTTGTGGACTTCAACTCCCAGAATTCCTCCTCCAGTCATGTTAGTTCAGGAATTCTGGGAGTTGAAGTCCACAAGTCTTAAACTTGCCAAGTTTGAAGACCCTTGTTGTATGATAATAATAATATTGATGCAAGTGTGGGGTTGTATTAAAGGGTGGACTGTTGAGTCTCAGCTGGGTCTCAGTTTCATTGCAACAAAAAATACGTTTGATCACTTGTGAATTTTTATGTATGTCAACATGGAAAATAATAACACCAATGCTGAGGAGAACCAGAAGGAAAAACACCACTCAAAACAGCCTGATAATGTCTGTGTATTCTCTGTAAGTTTCCTCCTCTCTGGGGCAACATTAAGCAGTCTTTTTCTGTATTAAATGTATTCCTGCTCTTTGAGTGAAGTGCCGATAGAAAGGAAAGGAAATATACACACTCCTAGTGTAGCATACCTTTTCTCCCTTTCTAGATGCAACTTGGAGAAATGAATCGTCTTTTGGTGCCAAGAGACCATAACCTATTTTGATCCTTGCCTAATACGCATTCTCTCCTTCCCCAAGTAGCAAAAGGGATTTTTCATCCTGATGTTCTTTCAAGAATTGAGGATGGTGATAGTGGTGGCCTAGAGATGGAGCTCTTGCCTCACAATCAGGAGGCTGTGAGTTCGATCCTAGGTAGAGACTAATATTTGGAATAGACTCTCCTGATCGAGCAGGGGGTTGGATTAGATGATCTCCAAGGTCCCTTCCAACTTCTATGTATCACTCTCTCCTCCCATTTTTCCTCTTAACAGCGACATTTTTTTATTGTTTGACACAAAACAGTTTTAAAATCCATTATATTAGGCAAAAAGTGCTAAGTTTTCTCCTCTTTTCTAAGAAATAAGATTAAATATAGTTTGAATACATGAGATAGATACTTATAAGAAAAATCAACTTAGCTTTATATTCAAAGCAATCTTTCTAAAGCATTCATACAAACCATATATAAAATAACACTGGGGAAAGCTAAAAAGCAATAAAAAATAAATTTAAAAAATTTAAATTAAAATAAAGTTAGCACCAGTGAAGTGTTTTAAATTTCCATGTGTTCAAAGCAGACACATTCTACAAAGGTAGCTTCACTATTAATATTTTATATATATGGGAAACTTGGATGCAAGCTGATCATAAAGCTTTCTTGTTAATCTGATATTTGTAGATTTAAATTGTTTCTCACAGAAATAGAAATCAGACTACAGGTAGTCCTCGACTTACAACAGTTCATTTAGTGACTGTTCAAAGTTACATTACTGGAAAAAGTGACTTATGACTATTTTTCACACTTAAGACCATTGCAGCATCCCCATTGTCATATAATCAAAATTCAGACACTTGGCAATTGACTCATATTTATGACGGTTGCAGTGTCCTGAGGTCGTGTTTTGCATTTCACTTAACAACTGTGTTACTAACTTACCAACTGCAATGATTTACTTAACTTTGGCAAGAAAGGTTGTAAAATGGGACAAAACTCACTTAACAAATGTTTCACTTAGCAACAGAAATTTTGGGCTCAATTGTGGCTGTAAGTTGAGGACTACCTGTATTGTCACATTGATTCTAATATGACAAGAGGTTCCATAACAACTACTAATACCATAACAAAGTGACAATTTGTAACAATGAGTTGTGGTGGTGCTGTGGTTAGAATGTAAGTATTGCAGACTACTTCTGCTGACTGCCGGCTGCCAGCATTTCAGGATGTATATACATGATGGAACATCGATTCTCATCGGCTCAAGGTTGACTCAGCCTTCCATCCTTTCGAGGTCAGTAAAATGAGGACCCAGATTGTTGGGGGCAATATACCGACTCTATTTCTCTTAGCAGCATCCCACAAATATTGCATACAAAATTATACGTCAGGTTTATTTAACCTACACTCCATTAGCTTAGGATCACTGGAAATTCTATTTGACAGGATCGGTGCACATAGCTGCATAACAATATTCAAAAATTCTCAGGCTTTTTCTCCCCTTATCTTCCTTTAGCTTCTTTGTAGTCCCTCAAAGGTATTTGGGAAATTGCATCACGTCATGGACAAATGAGTCTGGCTGAAGTAAAGGAAGCAAATTTCCCTCTTGGCTAAGGGTTGCTTTTCATATGATATGATTATTTTTTAACTCATCACCAAATAGACTAGAAAGTATGGAATTCTGAAGCTGTTTGAAGACATTATGAATGCTGTCATTTTGTCCAATTAATATTAACAGGAGGTTGCCTTTTAATTTAAAAGGCAGTTTACTTCACTGCAATGCCCAAGAGCTGGTTGCCATTAATCACAATGGACTAAACATGAAGGCCTGCTACAAATAAGGGATATAGCTCAATATTATGAAGGTTTTCATTTGTAACATTTTGGGTTCAGGCTCTACCACCTCTATTTTTCTCAGCCATTGTGAAAGGTTTCACATATTCCCATTTCAATTTCTCATTATTTTTCAGACTGTAGTACAACTAAAATTTTCTGCTGAAGACTACAATGACTGACCCAATTCCTGTGGCTTGTCTTCAGTGTATATACATGATGGAACATGCATCTATCTCCAAAGTTTCGAGTGTAGCCAATCCAGGAATACTAGGCTAAGTGCGACTGCTGGTTTCACTTAAAATACATGGGACCTCTAGTTTCACTCAAAATAAGGAAACCCCTTATTAAAAATGTGTGATTGTTACTTTCTTTGGCAGACGACATAAATTGTAAGGTTAAACCAGAATGAATTAAAATTCCTTATTCTTGCCTACAAAATTTACATCTTTCTGTTACTATTTTTATTATATTTTTATCATACCATAGACACACACACACAAATTCAAGGTGGTAATATACACAATTATTCATGCCAATTTTCCATACAAGAACAACCTTGTAAAGTTTTCTGGGCTGAGACGGAGTGACTGGTCAAAACTTCTCAGTATATTTTCATATCTAGAACTCAACTCGTATCTCTAGGCCAGCACCTTCATCACTACATCTGTCTCTTTGTTACCTGTCATATACGTTGTATGTTGTGTACTATATGAAATTCATAGGAACCTTCCTCCAATACTGCAATTTCTATACCAGTGGCAGTGGCAGAGAGTAGCTATTGCAGGTTGTTGCATGGCACGAGAAGACCTGTGACACTTCTGAAGTATAGTTGAATTATAGTTTATTTCATGTAACAAAAATAATGCACAAGCAGACATCTGTCACATAGGTCTGAATACTTGTTTATTAGTTACAAAACTCTCTAGTTTTGGATGTTACTATAACTAAGCTTCACATTGGTACAACTTTTTGAATCATTTTTTTTAAAACGCTGTTAAGACAAACAAACCAAATTAACCCAACTATTCTCTGTAGGAAAAAAAACACTTAACTAATTTTATCATTAATACAGGAAAAGGAGCACCTTTTTCAGACTTAGATGAAGGGTTGTTCATTTTTAGCTGAAATTTACAACCTCAATAGCTACTAAGATATAAAATTATGTTGCATTTTGTCACCACCTACAACACTTTAAAAATGCAGAGAGCTGCAGATGCTAAACAGTCTTCAGGGAGCTTGTTTTTCCAGACCATTTGCTCTATCGCTTCCATTTTAAAAGTATTCTCATATAGGTTTCAATTGGCTTGGAATTCTTTCTTCAAAGAGAAACACATTTTATACAGTCTCGTTGCAGCAAAATAGACACATGGACCTATGCCTCGAGTTTCAAACTTGGGAAGCTTTTGCTTAAGTTGTCAGCAAGAGTCTGATCTGCTCCATGCAGCACTTCAAGAAAACTCTCCACCTGGGGGGGAAAAAAAAGCAAGTTGAATAAAGTAAAATATGGGAAATGCTAAGCAGGATGAACTTATTTTGTCAAGCACCTTGACCAGGATATAGATCATTTCCAAATTTCATGCTGACTCTTCACTAGTTTACGGGACATCAAATAATAATTTCTACAGAGTTAAGTACACAAATGCCTTCAAAGCTTTCTACGTTTTGAACTTCCCAAATATCAGTCAATATCACTTCGGTGACAATGGGAAAACTTCCTTTGCAATTTATTCATTAATGCTCTTTTACATATATTAAAGATATGGGGAAAACACTGTGTAAGGTGTTTCTTGGTTTAGAAAACAAAACAAACAAGGTTATAATATAGGTAGTCTTTATCTTTGTCTTTCAACCAAAATTGAGCCCAAAATATTGGTTGCTAAATGAGTAGACCTTTCCCACCACAGTTGTTAAGTGAATCATTGCAATTGTTAAATTAGTAACATGGTTATTAAGTGACTCTGATTATTGCTTATCAAAAAGTAAATATGAGCCAGTTGCCAAGCGTCCAAATTTTGATTTCATGTCTGTGGGGATGCTGCAATGTTTGCAAGTGTGAAAAACAGTCATAAGTCACTTTTTTTCAATGCCATTGTAACATTGGATGGTCACTAAACAAATGGTTGTTAGTCAAAGACCTGTATTTATTTCACCAAATTTATAACCCCATTTCTGAAGAACTATAGGCAATGTACAAAAAAGAACAAAATTACAACACCAACAGACAACAAAAACCCTCTAATCTGAATAACTAGGATCAATGCTGTCAGTCAAAGGAATTGGTGAAATTCAAAACGTACAGGTGAAACTCAAAAAATTAGAATATCGTGCAAAAGTTCATTTATTTCAGTAATGCAACTTAAAAGGTGAAACTAATATATGAGATAGACTCATTACATGCAAAGCAAGATACTTCAAGCTGTGATTTGTCATAATTGAGATGATTATGGCTTACAGCTCATGAAAACCCCAAATCCACAATCTCAGAAAATTAGAATATTGTGAAAAGGTTCAATATTCTAGGCTCAAAGTGTCCCACTCTAATCAGCTAATTAAGCCATAACACCTGCAAAGGGTTCCTGAGCCTTAAAATGGTCTCTCAGTCTGGTTCAGTAGGAATTACAATCATGGGAAAGACCACTGACCTGGCAGTTGTGCAGAAAACCATCATTGACACCCTCCATAAGGAGGGAAAGCCTCAAAAGGTAATTGCAAAAGAAGTTGGATGTTCCCAAAGTGCTGTATCAAAGCACATTAATAGAAAGTTATGTGGAAGGGAAAAGTGTGGAAGAAAAAGGTGCACAAGCAGCAGGGATGACTGCAGCCTGGAGAGGATTGTCAGGAAAAGGCCATTCAAAAGTGTTGGGGACTTTTACAAGGAGTGGACTGAGGCTGGAGTCAGTGCATCAAGAGCCACCACACACAGACGGATCCTGGACATGGGCTTCAAATGTCGTATTCCTCTTCTCAAGCCGCTCCTGAATCACAAACAACGTCAGAAGCGTCTTACCTGGGCTAAAGAAAAACAGAACTGGTCTGTTGCTCAGTGATCCAAAGTCCTCTTTTCTGATGAGAGCAACTTTTGCATCTCATTTGGAAACCAAGGACCCAGAGTCTGGAGGAAGAATGGAGAGGCACACACTGCAAGATGCTTGAAGCCCAGTGTGAAGTTTCCACAGTCTGTGTTGATTTGGGGAGCCATGTCATCTGCTGGTGTTGGTCCACTGTACTTCATTACGTCCAGGGTCAACGCATCCGTCTACCAGATTTTGGAGCACTTCATGCTTCCTTCTGCAGACGAGCTTTAAGGGGATGCTGACTTTCCAGCAGGACTTGGCACCTGTCCACACTGCCAAAACCACCAAAACCTGGTTCAATGACCGTGGGATTACTGTGCTTGATTGGCCAGCAAACTCACCTGACCTGAACCCCATAGAGAATCTATGGGACATTGCCAAGAGAAAGATGAGAGACATGAGACCTAACAATGCAGAAGAACTGAAGGCCGCTATTGAAGCATCTTGGTCTTCCATAACTCCTCAGCAGTGTCACAGGCTGATAGCTTCCATGTCACGCCGCATTGAGGCAGTAATTGCTGTAAAAGGGGCCCAAACCAAGTACTGAGTACATCTGCACTATTATATTTTTCAGAGGTCCGATATTGTTCTATGTACAATCCTTGTTTTATTGATTGCATGTAATATTCTAATTTTCTGAGATTGTAGATTTGGGGTTTTCATGAGCTGTAAGCCATCATCATCACAATTATGACAAATCACGGCTTGAACTATCTTGCTTTGCATGTGATGAGTCTATCTCACATATTAGGTTCACCTTTTAAGTTGCATTACTTAAATAAATGAACTTTTGCACAATATTCTAATTTTTTGAGTTTCACCTGTAGAAAGCTTTGAAGGCTATGTATCACTGTAGAAATTATACTAGAATTTACCTCCCAGGACTACAAGAAATCCCTCTGTGATCTGGCAGCTTAATCACCAATGCTTTTTCTGGCACTAACATGTTCCCTTATTTTACCAGTGGGAACCTCAAAATATTGGCACAAAAATATATTCAGGGAATTTATTTATTGATAAATATCTTGCCTCTGGTTCAGGAGCTCAAAATCGCAGGACTCCCTCCTATTTTTCCCTCAGTGCAACAACCTTGTGAGGTAATTTGAGCAGAGAGAATTACAACAGCTCCAAATCACTTGGTGAGCGCCCATGGCTGAGGGTGGACTCAAATCTGGGTTTTCCCAGTGCCAGCCCAACACATTAACAATTTTTAAGGCATAGGTTATATAACTTGAAGCTGGGAGGGGAAGGAAGAAAGAAAAGAGAAGAAAGCCAATTTTTTATTCTATTAATGAAATTTTACCAGCCATGTTTTTGAACATAAATCTCTAAAACAAAATTTAGATGAAGCCAGTATATCAGAGGTATTTATCCTTGACAATATCTCATAGTTTTTGCTTATTTCAGAAGTCATACATACCGAAGATGAATAAAATGGAAGGAGATTTTGAAATGCACAGGAGCATTTCTGTTCATTTATATGACCTTGCTTGAGCCCCTCCAATATGTTTTCCTAAAAATACCAGCAAAGAGTTAGATGCTGTTTGAATAAAGATTAATAAAGCTTATTAAGGTTGGTAACTCAACTGTGAAAGACAAACATAAACAGTATGTTCCAATAAAAAATGTGAGTCATGGCAACCCAGTGATCAAAGAAAACATTTTAATATTAATAACAATTCTGCATATGAAGAATACTAAACGGTAAATATTAAACACTGAAGTATTTAATATTCCACTGTGTTTCATGTGCATAAATTAATCTTTGAATCAATTTGGCTGTAGAAAAGGTGTTAAAAATGTAATACTCCATAATTGCTAGAAGGGTTCTGTAGGGTATTTTTATACAATAGTTGAAAAATAAGCACTTAAAACAAAAGATATATACATATTCTATCTCAATCAAACTAAACCAATTTATTTCATAAAAAAATACTCATCCCTGTCTACACAGTAACAATTTTCTAGTGAAATTCTTGCACAAATTATAAAATGCAAGCCAGACAGAGTTTTCCATCATTTTTAACATGGTGAAAGTGTTCTACCCTTCTTACGTGTATATGCCCATACACATAAAATATAGGTTCCATTCCTTTCCATTATAGAAGACAATTTTATAATTAGTAAGAGAGCAAATGCTTAAAAAATTATTCAGAACTTTAGAAGATATGACAGTGCAGGTACAGCTCCAATATAATCACCCAGTTCTTTTTTTAAGCATCTGTATGGCCCTTGGGGGAGAAAGCTGCTTTAATAAATATTTTTATATTTATAGCAGGTTTATAGCTAGAAAGCGCATGAGTTCGAGTCCCATCTTAGCCATGAAAGCCAGCTGGTGTCAGGCTCAAGAAATAAGAAGCCAGGATATACTTCAAAAGCATTATGAGTTTATTCCATGCTGCCTATACAAAAGAATCTCATCTACTATCAGTGAAGCCAAATTGGTGGTAGATAACTGTCAATGTACTTCAAGGAGGACTGGACTTAGCTCTCTTACAGGAATGTAGTGAGTCCAAACTGATGATGTGTTTTACCCCACCCTTAGTTCAGCCTAGTCATTTCCTATTTTGGGCTGGTTACTCTCTTTTGTTGTAGTGGGGAATAGGAGAAGGAAGATGTGTTGGATATGTTTATGTATTTGTAACAATAATAAAGGTGGGATATAAATAAATAAAACATTAAAGATACAATTCCTTTAATGCATACCTGGATACTTGCAATTCCAACATATTCCAAAACATCCCTCTGAATAATTTCTAAATTTTTGTCTAAATTGAAAATGGACCCTAAAAATGAGATTCTTCCATCTCAAAATTATCTAGTGATAAAACCTGGGTTGAAAGCATTCCTTAACTGTCAAGTTTATATTATTATTATTTTTTTACCACTGTTAATTCCTGGAGCATATTGGAGAGTAATTCACAACAGATGTCCTTCAAGATTTTTAAATGGAAATCTTCCTCAACTATTTCCAATTTCTCACACTCTTCTGTCTGGGATTTCTTTGAGCTGTCTACAGATCTCTTCTCACATTCATCCATATTTTGTAACACTCTAATCACGCTATCAATCAGAGCCAGATCTGAAATGCAAAAAAAAAAAATTATGAATGAAAGTATGTCAGGGCAAAGAGGAATTCCTAGTAACGAACTAAGTTTTAAAATAGGTAAGACTCTGGAGTCATTGACAGTATCAGTACAATCTAAAAAAGACCCAGAACAGACAAAAGATAAACAAAGAGCAGCAACTCTTTCTTCACAAATTAACCTAATAATTATATTTGATTATAGATCAAATGAAAATATTTTCCAAAAATAATTTACAGACAAAACAGTCCATTTAAAAGAAAAAAAATATTAGAGGAAATGCACATATCTCTTATAATATTCTATATTAAAAAGGACAATGCCAATTTGTTAGAACGTTATCATTTCAGTCAAAAATCTATGGCCTCAGACAAACTGGAAAAAATAGTCATATATAATATTTATCATAAAACCATAAAATCATAAAAATGAAGAAAATTTATGCTATTATGATTTCAAATTGAATGTAGGAAAATTAACAACAGCTTCAATTTATGTCCAAATGACAATAAATAAAATATTATGAAACTATTTTTATTTCTTGAAATTGCAGAGAGAAATTTTAGATATTGGGAGATAAACATGAGATGCTTTTATGTCACTCTTTCCTCTTTTAGAAGTATTGAATAACAAATGTCCTTCAGAAATATTTATTTCACCAAACTTACTCAAGTACACAATAGTGGACTGTATCTCTAATTCATTAATCAATTTTATAGATGTGGAAGTGCTAGTTTCATTAATGCAGATCACAATCCAATAACTGAGAGAGTGCCTAGAGGAACTTCCAGACCAATGAGAGTGGAAGCTGAATGGCCTATTATTATTGCAATTCAAGTAAACTGAAGCGCCAACGTGAATTTGAGATTCTTACAAATAAATTTACTTCTTGAGATTTCATAATCAACAGTGTGGGATTGCAGTAAAGCATTCACGAGAGACCTGCTTATTTCTTTGGCATGAAGGAAAAAGAAAACCATGCAGGAACAAAAGAGCATATTGATGAATAAAGTGAAGCAATTATAATCAAAATATAAACAGAATCCAGTCTTGGATTTAGAACAAAGTGAATCAAAATCAACTGGACATAAAGGAAACAAATTATACTTATAAGAAGATGATTTTTTTCTAAACAGAAATATTAGGAAATTAACGCCATTAAAAAAGGAAGAACTCGAGCTATGGCAAATTTATCACTTGTGAACAGCAATAGTAATGGTTCACATGTAAATTGAATTGAACATATTCCTGCAAATTTTTCCTTACCCAAACTCCATTCTGACCTATTGTTGTTGTTAGTTGCGAAGTCATGTCCAACCCATCGCAACCCCATGGACAACCTTCCACCAGGCCTTCCTGTCCTCTAGCATCTTCTGGAGTCCATTTAAGCTCATGCCTACTTCTGACCTATGCTATCCTTCAAATACTCCATTTTGAAATTCTGTGATTATATTCCACACCCCACCCCACCCCGTATTGACTTGTGTAATATATAAGGTATAACACTTACTCCTTCCCATTTTTACGTAGTCCTGATTTGTCTGTGAAGCAAAAATGGCTGTCAGCACAGATAAAATAGAAGCCAACAGGGTTTTCTGTTCTTGAACAATAATTGGTGGATCATCTGGCTGGCAGAGTTCATTGCAAAAGAGATTATAGAGCAGGCTCCATGTTTCCTTTCCTCTATCAGAAGATTTGACTGAAAAATTAGAAAAAATTTAGTCAATCTCTAAAAAAAATATTTATTAAAGGACTTTCTACAAATACTTTGTCATTAAATGCTTCAGAAAACATACCAATTGTTTGAATGCCTTCATCCACTGTAGTGAGCAGCTGTAGAATATGCATATAAACTTCAAGTCCTTCAGAATTATCTGAGCTGCAGTAAAGCATTATGAATTTCAGTTACAATTATTCATTAAGAAATACTGTATTTGTGTCTCTGTGTTTATGAGAAAATTCAGAATTGAAAGGGGACATATTGCTGAAAAAAGCAAACATTCATTGAAAAGTTTCTACCCCATTCAGTGATATTCAAGAGAGTTAAACCCCAACATTTACATTTTAAAATTGATATGATTTGATGTTCTTTGCTACAAAAGTAGGTAAAATGAACTTGAACATTACTTGTCCAATATGAAAAAGTGCCTTATATTTCTATGCTTGCATGCATATTGATAGATGTTTACCAAACTTGTTTTGCAGCTTCAAGCAGACAAGGTAGAATTTTAAAATCAGGAACATCATCTGGAGAATCATCTGTGGGCTGTTCCGCTGATGGACAAGAATCTTTTTTAATCCAGTTTATCATTAATTCTTCATCCAAATCAAACAACTTATCAACCACTTCACCAACTTTTACCAGCAAGTCCACTAAAACAAAAATTAAAGTACAGTTAAATTAAGACCACATAAAATGCAAAACAACATTCAGAAAATAAAACATTTTAGTATTCTCTAGTGTACTACTATATAGCTAATAGTAATTAATTAATTTGGATGTATGCTGCTTTGAGAATCTTTACATAGTATTGGTAAATCAAATATAAATTTATTTTCAATTAAATAAATACAAATTAATCAGAAAAGTACCTGTCAACCCTGAAGCTGGCCTGACTGAGGCCCTTTTGAAACTTCAGCACTCACACACAGGAGAAGAGGGACATGGAAGGGGGAATAGAGATAGTTGGGGTGTTGTAGTCAAAACAAAATATTTTCTCTTGGGAACCAAGGACGTTCCTGCAGGTGCTTGGAAGGAGAGGACTGGAGTCACCTAGCAACTGGACAGTGTCCTGATTGGACCATGTGACTCTTTTGAGAAAGTGCATAACTTTTACTTTTAATTAGGTGAAAATTGCTGGAATACTCAGAGATGGTTTTCACCGGCCTATGCCAATATGACATATCCAATAAACTTATTCTTTGAGGAATCTACCTGCCTCAGAGTTTTGTTTGCTACGGATATGTTACTTGGAACCTTGACAGTACCCTCCTCCCCCCAAGTAACGTTTGTGGAATATTTTTTCTTTTCCTTTTTTCCTAAGTTTTATACTTCTTTTTTCAATTCACTCTGTAGGAGTAATCCAATAGAGCATAGCACGAAGAATTAGGATGTGAATTTCCAAACAGCAGTTTAATCTTATGCTACTAGCCATTACTAATTATCAGAGCAGCACTTTAGATTTTAAGGCCAAACTGTGCTTTGTAGTATGAAAGGGCATGCATCATGTACCACCTGCCTACAACTTTTTAATTGGAAATGTTATACCTTTTCCTTTCATATCTTGTACTCTTCCCCTTTTAGCCTGTTTGCCTTTGTAAATATATTTAAGACAATTCAGAAAATCAGTGCCACTTATGGCACCTATGGTCGTTTTACCCAAGACTTGGACTGCTAGAGACTCAAGAAAGATGTTTCCATTGTTCTTTCAGTTTGTGGATGTAAGTGCCAACAGTGCTTTATGAATATCACATTCCAATTTTATATTAATATAAATATAGTATATCAACAACCCAAAGATATTATAACCATAGGAAAAGAAGCCACCAAAACTACTCCATGATTCACATGGTTTCACTGTATCACGGATTCTTTGTTTAACTAGAAATGCTTTGAGCAGTTTTCCTTATAAGTAATTTAAAATGTCTGATTCCCATAATTAAAGTACATTAGTAGTTGTGCATTTTTCCTTATTTTAAAAAATGCTCTTTGATGCAATAAAATACAGTCTTCATATATTAGCTTACCATTTGTAGAACTAGACATGATAAAGCAGAAACAGTTATAGACAGACGGACTTTGTTTGATTCTCTCTACCCAAATATTAGCCACTTCAGATTGACAGAGGCAAGTCAACAGTAACCTAAAATACAAATGGAAATGTAACAATGTGAGATTTTTTTTGAAAAGCCCAAATTTATTTATCAGTTCTATAAGCATCTAAAGATAAGCTCATTAAATCTAAGTTAACTTGTATAGGGTTGCACTTTTTAGTTTTTATCATGGTTTATGTTGATTAGATATACAATTAAAATTAAAATCAAATAAATGGTATGTGAAGTCAATTAGCATATATAGAACACATATCAGAACACAGCCAAGCCCCCACCCAATCAAGTGACACCCCCACTAGCAGTTAAAAGGAAGAAG